CAAGTTTGAAATTCAGAGTTCTCTATTATAGATACATAATGGAAAATTCGAATAAATTAATCTCTATTTAGCAAATAATAGTTTATTTGTGGTACTACACATAGACAAAAACGAAGCTACGTTCGGTTTGTAGATGACCTTTTCAAATGAATCCTGTCAACATGAACACTGATTGAGTAAATTTAATCTTTGATTTTTGTCTTTTCTTAATGATTTGTCTACAATTAATTCAAGTACGTGAATATAAATGTTGTGTGCTTCAACAAAACAATTGCATTCAAGCTCTAATTCACCAAGAGCATTGTGTAATTTAGCTTTGTGTGTAGTTGAATCAAGTTTTTCAAAAACTTCGTTAATCAAATCTTTCCCTTTTTCATAGTTATTGATTTGTCGATAAACTACACCTCATATTTGTTTAAAAGGGCATTGCTCAAAGTTCTGTATCATCAGTATAACTTGGTCGAAGGCAAGAATTGATTTCATCTTTTGATTGATATATCTTGTCAATAACTACTTGTGATTTTTCAAGATTTTCAAGTGCATTTTCATATAAATTGTTTGCGTATTCTGATATGAAAATGCAAAGATAAATAGTAACACGATCACATTGTGAACGCTTCGATGATGACCTGATCATGCGTTTATAAAAATGACTAGAATTGATGTATTTGCCAAGTTCATGCAAAAGTTTGCCTCATATAAAATATGTACAGTTACTTGTTCATTCTTCAAAATGACTGTTCATATGTGAATAAACTCGACTTTTCAAAAATTTTCTGCAAATAAATACCCTAAAGAAAAGAACTCCATCTGCATCTTACGACCATTGTGATTAGAAATATCGACATAGGGCCATTTTCTTGTGATTATGTCATTTAATTGGCTTTCATCAAGATGTATTTCCAGTATAACTGATTCATAGCCCAATGTTCTGCTATCTAGATCAGCACATATATTTCCCACTTCATTGTTTATTGCCATGGAAAGAAAACCATTCAGCGATATAAGATTATTTTTATTATCTGATAATAGTTCAAAATACTTTTT